TGTAATCATGATTATGAGTGGGCCACATGACCAAAATTCTCAATTCCACAGCAGAATACTAGGTTAACTCATTAGTAAAAGACAAAAAAGGTCCTCAAAATTATTGAAAATAATTAAATGTCAGCAATAAAAAAGCAAAGGACAAATACAATAGGAAAAATAATAGAAATAAGTTTTTATCCAAATATAAAGTATTCAGTTAACAGCCCAAGTACAGAAATTGAATAATCAAATGTACAATTAAACAGCATAGTCTTCACTATAAGAATTAAACTTCCTTTGTTTCTTATTAAAGCTACAAAAGTCCTTCAATCAAGAGCAGTGAGTGATTTTGTCATTGTCTTTTGTTGTTTGATTAATATTAAGCACACAGTCAGAAGCTTGAATAGCCCACTGTCGCTTTAAGAGCCGCACGGATCCAATTTACTGTTACACATGTATTTTCATTCTTAACTGTTTACGTTCACTTATTACAGAACCGATGAGGGTTTACGTTAATATTCACCAAGCGCTGCATTTTGACACATTTTTGCATGTATTTGACCATTTAGGCACACACCTTGAGCTAAAAGATGACTTTACATATCTGTGTTCTGTTTCTGAGCGCATACACAGAAATTCTACTGAGGAACAGCTCAAGTTCTCTTTGGCGCTTTTAAAAACATGAATAAATCTAATCAATGTTAATAAATCAATCACGTCCCATTTTGCAAAAGTCACGTTACATGATTTACTTGTGAAATTTGGCTTTTATGGAGGAGCGAAAGTGAACTGCTAAAGGGGGTGGAATGGGGCGCAATAATCATTTTATCTCGATTATTGCATTTTAATAATCTTTTGAGGCTGAAATCGAAACTGTATTATCGAATAATTGCACAGCTCTAGGAAAAAGTCCCGCCCATTTGTGATGATCTCTGCCCTATTAGCATAGACATAGCCCTGAGTAAGAAGCAGCAGTCTGCCATTACTGTTTTCTTGCTGTAGCTGCTGGAGATATACAATGTCAGCGCCAAAGAGGCAATACAAGTGTTGTGTTTTGGGATGCACCAACGACCATAGGAGTCATATTTTGTTTTCCAAATTGCCTTTCTGAAAGAGCTTCTTAGCACTCTGTAAGGCTAATGTTGCTAAAGCTACCCATTGTCTCTGCCTGTTTTCACTGATGCTGCCTTCACGTGCTACCGGAATGAATGAAAATAGGAATGTGGTAGATAAAAATTGCATATGAAAGCAATGTGAAGTTGACCGTTTGAATTTGTCAAGCTCATAATCACAAGCGGGACTTATAAATGGCACTTTTCCACTGCATGGTACGGCACGGTACGGTTCACTTTTGGGGGATTTTCCACTGGGTACAGTACCTGGTACTTTTTTCAGTACCACCTCGGTTCAGGTTCCAAGCGAACCGTACCGTTACCAAAACGTGACGTGTAAACTCTGCTGATTACTGATTGGCCGGAGAGAATCGTCACTACCTGACCTACCTACCTACACAAGACGGCCCCTATGCATGTACTGGAAACATCTATGGCGCTTTTCCACTGCATGGAACAGCATGGTACGGCTCGGGGTGGTTCACTTTTGGGGGGTTTTCCACTGGGTACAGTACCTGGTACCTGGTACTTTTTTTAGTACCACTTCGGTTGGGGTTCCAAGCGAACCGTACCGTTACCAAAACGTGACGTGTAAACTCTGCTGATTACTGATTGGCCGGAGAGAATCGTCACTACCTGACCTACCTACCTACCTACACTGAACTTGCGACACAGACACAACAGAACCGCTAAATTTGAATCAGCACAGCCAGCGAAGGATCGAACACAACTGTTTTGAACGAGCGCAACTTTTTTTAACAACCAAAAAATGACTGTTCCGTGGTCTGCTGAGGAAGTACAGACGTTCCTCTCCTTGATAGCAGAGGAGCGGATCCAGCGAGAGCTTGATGGGGCAACGAGGAATGAATAAGTGTTTCAGGAGTTGTGGCAGTAGAGGCGGCGCAACTATAATGACATGTGAATAATCCCGCCCACTCTAAAGCGGTACTAAACTGCAGTGGAAACGCAAACCGAGCCGTGCCGAGCCGAGTCGTACCATGCAGTGGAAAAGCGCCAAAAGTTTGTGATGGCACGCGATGGCACCATGAGACCAGCTATGTCGTTATTTTTATCGTGCCGTGCTCCCCGTCTGTGTAATTCATAAATGCGCATTTATTATGCACAGTACAATCAGATGACTGGCTTTTAAACCGAGTACATTTTCTGTAAAGATAAAAGGCTTGTACTAATATTGGAATGTTTATTTGCAAAGGCCAACACCGGTATTTCTGGAGCTTGAGCTTTTGATGCTCCGCCCTCTTCTCAAAAGTGGGACAGGGGCACCAGATAATTTGCATTTACAGGGACAAACACAAAAAACGGCGCGTTTTGGCTCATACCCTGAAAGTGGCCATTTTAACAAGCTAGCCTATAAAAAATTATCTGTGGGGTATTTTGAGCTAAAACTTCACATACACACTGTGGACACTTGTTAAAAGGGGCATAACAGGCCACCTTTAAGTGAAAATGAATGGTAGGTAATATGCAACTTGTTGAGTGTTTTGAAACTGGCAAAAATTGCAGGATAGTGTAGAACACAAAAGGTCACATCACGCACCTGCAGCGCTTCTGAACCGTTTGGTTTTTCATATTTAAGCCCTCCTCAAATACAAAAAATATTAGCAGTGAAAATAATACTAAAGTAAAAAAGCTCAAAAAAGGAGTTTGTGATAGAAAATGTACTGATAATGGTAGCTGCAATATTTTTTAAAAATAACAAATTAAATACATCTATGTATGCACCATTAAAATGGACTACAACCGAAAGCTATATGGGTTGCCATTAGTGTTAATTTCGTTAACGAAAACTATGACGGAAAAGATTTTTTCCCATGACTAAGATGAGACGAAGACGAGATGACAATAAGGTCAATAAACTATAACTATGACTATATCAACATGCAATTTCATTGACGAAATAAGACGAGACTAAAATGTATAATAAAAAAATATATATAAACTTCACCAAAAACCTCTTATTTTCGTCAGAAAAAGGAGACAAAATGATATTGCAGACTGCTGTACACGCCTCTACTATGCAAGCTTTCATGAGTGCAGTTTCCAGATATCAAGAGTTCAAAACCCAGAATCAGAGCTTCGCTGTTACATGGATACATTTTCTGCCCGGTGTTTTGCTTATTTTAAGCAATCTGGCAACCATGCGCACGTGCTCGCTCTTCATTGCAGAAGCGCCGCCGCCGATGATCTGAAAACACAGACAAATAAGCTGGAGTTTAGCGATCTAAATGAAAGTGTCACTCAGCCGGACTGTGTTCTGTCATGAGATCTCGACTGTATTGTTTGCGATTGTGGTCGCTGAATAAATGCACTTACTCAACCGCTGTTGTTTTAATAGAGAAATAGGCTATTGCCATTTGGAAGGAATATCGATGTTACAATATTTTTCGTTTGTTTTAGCAGTTTTCATAAGGTAGACAGAGAGATTGCATCAGTCATTGGTATTAATTTATATAATAAAAAGCCTGTAATAAATCAGTACACTAGATGAGGTGAAATAGGCCGAGTTCACATTCTATTGATTTGTGCAATTTGAAAAAGTTTTGAAAGTGCAATACCTGAAATGTTCTCAAATGTCAACAATCATTGAGATTATAATTTTGAGCAAAAATAATTTTGATCAGTTTAACCATTATACAGCATGACGAAAATGTGACTAAAGCCCTATTCGGACGGGACTAGTTTTCTAAACTACGTTTGAGTTTCGATTCTTATCACCTGACGTCTGTGATTTTCATGTGCCAATTCGGACGGGACTAACATCTCTGTGTTTATTACAGAGGTGGGAGGGTCTGTTTTGTACATCTGGGCATTTTAGAGATCACACACTCTGCATTGCGTACAAGTTAGTCATTCGGATTGATTACCATTAGTATAATCAGTTTTACTACAAATACCATGGTGAACCTAAATGGCTACTATAACAACATTTTTATTTTTTTTTTTTTTATTTGTAGTAAACCCATGTTTAATTTTCATAAAGGTACATCTGTAATTAAAATATTATGTAATTGAGTGCAGAAATGAACGTGAGTAATCTTACCTGACGCTGATATTACAGTAGCCAGTCTTAACAGTTTACGTGATCTGGCTCTTGATTTTATTATTGTTATTTTTTTTATTTCTTTGCCGGGAGGCAAATATATCAAACATGCGCCCAGTATAGTAACTCACGTTGGCCAAAACACACAAGGAAACGCAGTGTGAAAAAAAATATCGCCGGCAATCACAGACATTCACATTCAGACGGGATTCGTTTTCTCAGAGGATCACTGAGTTTGCTGAAAAACAGTAGGTAATTTGCTCTGGAATTATTACAGAGGTTGTGTGAGAACAACACAGACATGGCAGATTCGGACGGGATTAAAATCACCAAGTATGTCTGTGAAACACAAATTTCTCTAACGACCCCCTGTAAAACTAGTCCCGTCCGAATAGGGCTTTATTCATCAAGACACATGCTTGTTTTGATCCTGATTGAATCAAGTTTTTGAAAAAATTGGTTGAGTAAGTAATTCAATGACTCACTAATAAACACAAATGTTTGATGAAAAAAAAATACCGTCATGTACCGTGAAACCAGTATAATTTTGAAAAATATCGTGATATACATTTTTGGTCATACCGCCCAGCACTAGTATGCACTGTTTTTCATGTTTCAAATTGTTTTTCAATTTTCACTGAAAGTGTAGGAATTCCTCAGGTTGAGTGCAGTGTAGAGAGTAACACGACCCTCCTCCTCCTGTTGGTGCGGGCG